AGTTGGATATCAATTGAATAGCAATCATATTCTATCAGAATTTGGAAAGATACATCAATAATAAATTGTTTTGAAAATGATATACCTTTTTGTTCACTTTTACATAGATAGATACTAGGAGATTGTCCACTTGTTCATGTATTTATTAATTGTAACCATTTAGTTTTGAATCTTTTATCTAAATGTTTATATGTTCAATCTATAAATTTTTATTCAAAAATTTACTGATTTATTATTGACAAATAAGTAGATTTGTGAATAATATAATTTATAAATAAGCAACCTAATCCACCTGCAGTAAGCCATTATGGTTAGATGACAGTGATAAGTACTGTACATCCTTGCATTATTACCATTTGATTCATGGTCAAAGCAGAACTGATATTAATAATGTTAATTGGAACAGGATTGATGTTAATGATTTACAATCATTAACATCAATCTTGTTCCAATTTGCAAAAACCCGATAATGCCAGCAACAAATAATTAAAAATAGCTTTATTAAATTCTTGCAAAGAACTAATATGATTAGTTCATCTAACATAATAGATATTCACACTGTTTAAGACAACTTGTAATGCATCTTCAAATGTCTTCTTGCACATACCATAATTCTTGTGGAATGATTTGGACACATTTGCCATAGCACAGAGCTGTAAACATATGTTAACTACTGTTGCACCTGTTTAACTCTGCCTCTACCATCAACAGGTCATTAGGACATTCATGGAAATAATTTATAAGGTGTACTTAGTTCACATGTTCATTACAACAATTGCTATGTCTAGTACTATTTTTTTAATCATATGGGCCTAATTTGTGTAACTAATTCATTTATTTGCTTAATAATCTTATCATGTATTTTTAGAAATATCTACAATATTAAAATATTATAATTATAATTGCTAGTATAAGCTATACTATTATTATACAGAGGAAGTTTGTATGCTGTAACACAAGTTTGAAAACTAAACAATTTGGAAAATTCTTTTACCATTGATAAACTGATTTCTTTTCAATGGACATTAGCTATGTGTTAAAAATTAATATTCAGTATGTTTCTTTTTATAAACAATTTTAAATTAATAAGTTGAAAATGATTCACAACATTCCTGTACTCATAGTGCTCTCTACAGAGTCCTCAGTGTGAAAATTGAGAACTATTCTATACTCTCCAAGCAATCAAATTGTATATTAACTACATTTTTGTATTTTTGTTCCTACATTTAACAAATATCAGAAAATTCAGAGTAAGCCTAATTTTTTTTTGAGTTTTGATATATATTTTTTTTAATTTTTCATTAATTTCCTTAATTTTGAAATTTACTACCTTTAAATTTCTCCTTTCTCAGTATAGATGTGTCACCAAAGTATCCTCTTATTGTAATTTATTCCAAAGAATAAAAAATAACTCAAAATTTAGAATATTTTATTATTAAATAATAAATTTTAATTTTAAATTGTCAAAATTATTTTTTTCCAGCATGACTTTAAACCATCTAAAAAAAAATTGAAGAATTACAAATGTGACTAAACAGAAATTATTAGATCTAAAAAAATTTATATCTCAACATAACTATTGTAAAATAACTTCTCAACCTGACTTGTTAGTCAAGACAAGCTATGTGATAGCAAATTTAATTAGTAAAAAATCAAAGCCATTTACTGAAGGCAAACTTATTAATTAAAGAATGTCTGAAAAACATAGCAATCATAATTTGACCTGAAAAGAAAAAAAAAGCCAATTTTAGTTAAAGAACTTTGTCAAATCAAACAATCACTGTTAGACTGAAGAGATAGCAAAATCTGTTGAAAAAGTTTTGAATCTAAGTGTGCTACTTTAAAGTTTATTCCATGGCTTTGGAAATAATTTAAAATTAGCAAAAGTCAAAAGTATTCTTATATATGCAAAAAGTCAATCATTTCAAATCACAAAAATGGAAATCAAATAAACAAGTAATTATGAATCAATTGGTTTTTAATAAATATGCTTTTACTTCTACTAGTAACAATGTAGTTTACTAGTATTTAATAACATTTATTATAAAATAAATGATAATTTATGTAATTAAGAACAGAAGTTAAATTTCATTTATACATATTACATAAACTTGCAATCAAATCAAATATCTAACTACTGTCTAATTATATACATATTACATAAATTACTGAAATTCAATACAGGTATTAACAGCTATGCAAATACAGGCATACCTCGACTTACGTCGTTTCGAGTTACGTCGTTCCCGATTATACGTCGCTTGTTAAAAAAGTATATGGAAAAATAAAAATCAAGTTTAAGTCATTTTATTCGACTTTACGTCTGTCCGCCACAAATATTGAAGTCGTAATATCACTAGATAAACGTTTAAAGCACATAAAATCATATTAAAATATATACAAGTATGTACTGTATTTACAGTACACGCATTCGTAAATTTAGATTATTTTTTTTGTACTATATTAAAAACTAAAATTTATTTGTTTGTAAGCTTAAAATAGATTTTTATTAACCATATATTATTTAAAATGCTTTCCTAGTGATAAGTAGATTCGGAGACAGGTAAATTCGACTTACGTCGTTTTCCTGGAACCAATTACCGACGTAAGGCGAGGTATACCTGTACTTTCTACATGACTTTTCATCTACTACTATCAAATTCTTGAGATGAATATATACAGAAATATTCAATTAACAATAAAATACAGAGAGAAAATTTGTAAGCCGTACTATTTAAATATTTTTAAGAACTATCAAGAAATTTTTACAATTAAATACAGCATTAAACAGTTATTATTTAACTTCATTTTCCTATTAATAGATAATTTTAAATGATGTAGAGGTCAATTACTTAAATGAAACTTAAAATTAATAATCATATTGTATATATTATTCTTATATTTTTTTAATACTTTATATTACTATTTATTTATATTTATATTACTGTCTATTTCAGTGTTAAAACACTATGATATAGACATACTTAGAGATCCTATACTGTAGTAAGTTTAGTCCCCTCCACAGTTTATAAATCAATATTCAAATTAACTTGAGCTGTAAATATGAGGGGCATCCAAAAAGTAAAGAATACTTGGCTATAAAAAAAAAAAAAAACAGTAATGATAGGGTGAAAAAAATTTTATTAACTAATTAGTACAAGACCAGTTATTTTTCTACATAGTCACTATTAATTTAAAGCACTTGTCATAGAGCAATACTAGTTTTTGGATTCCTTTGTCATAGACTTCCACCACCAGTTCCTTCAGCCAGTTAGTGACAACTTTCACCTCTCATCCATTCCAAAATGTTCCAAATCCATCCAAAAACTTTCAGCTTGTGAAAAGGTAAGTCACTGGGGTCAAGTTGGAACTGTACAGTGGGTGGTGAAAAATGCCCCAGCCAAATTTCTCAAGCACAGCTTTAGTGGCTATGGTGGAATGCAGTCATGTGATATCTTTCTCAATTAAACATTAACACCATTTTCTCACACTTGCTCCATTCGTAACGTGATCGCCAAACACTTTCATGATTTGTTTACGAATTTCTTCAGGACAGACCTTTGCATTTAGAAAACAACACTTTGCACTCTGGATTTTTTTACACATTTTACCCTTGACAAAACAGTAACAATAAGCCTGCTGTTATAAAAACTCTAAATGTGCTATGATAACATATCAAAGAACAAATTGACCTCAAATCATTGGCAGTAATTTACCTTAGCAGAGTGTTACGCACAAACATTCTTTACTTTCTGGACACCCTTCATACGTTCTGTTTACATAATAAACTGGATTAAACAATTATGCAAAAATCTTTTAAAACAGATATCCACACCATACCCAAATGCAAACAACTTGGAAGCCCAATCAATTCTATATGAACATACTTTAGAATTCTATACAGTGTTACTATTAATCATAATTTGAAGTTAAAATGGTTTGCATTAATAAATATATTTAATTCTGAAAATATCATCGTATATTTCATTATATTTCTGAAAATGTAATTTACGTCAACGTCACAGTTACCTCAAATAAAATAAAATTTAAAAATAAAACATAACCCACATAAAAATGGTCTACGACCAGTCCCAAGAGATGTCAATCATAATACACAGAAAACCATTATTTAAACTTATAAATCTTGTAATCAAGCTAATTCATTTATACAAAAAAATATGTTTAAAAATTTCATACTGCCTTTAAGGAAAATGCTTAAAGTTTATTTGTTTGTTTTATTAAATTATGGCAATGCAACACTTGGGCAATCTGCCTAGGGGGATGCCTTCCAGGAGGTGTTTTTAAGGGTAACCAGCCCTTATTTATGCGTTACAGACGTGGAGAAAACCTGGGGAACCCGCAACCGAACTCCCAGCATTCAGGGGACAGAAACCGCTTGGCCACTGGTGAACCATTTATATTAAAGGATTAAATATTAAATAAATCTCATATATTTCTTTTGGGAGAAGCCAAATTTGTAACTTTTTATCTCATTATCATCATTAATCAATTTAAAGATTTTTCTCAGATTAAAGTGGATAAAACTGCAGTTGTGAATGTGGAGTTTGAATCTCCCCACAAATTTTAGACCATCCTACACCCATGGGCATAGTCTACAGCTCTAATAAAAGGACCCAACCACCTCATTCAGAGCTACATCTGTACCTTAAAACTCTGAAAAAGGATAAGTTTTGATATTTAAGTCAAGAATTGGTTTAAAAGTGAATAATTTCAGTCAGAATTGTCTCTCAGCATCATACTTCCAATCACCACCACATTAAATTTCGGGTTTTGACGTCATCTTCGAGACAATCGTGACGTTTTAAACAAAAAAAATGATGTAAACAATCAATAGCATCTGCCAGAAAAAGCTTCGGATGTTACCATAAATATTAAAAGGTAATTTTGCGTTAAAATCGTAAATATTGCGATGACCGAAACACAAAATCTTCATTTTTTGTTTTGTTTTTGGTCTCGCTTCTTTTAAAAATTACACTTACGCTCTTTGAGGTGGAAATCCCATTTCTAATAAAACGTTCAGTTCCGATGACATTTCTTCGATATTTTTAAGTTTTTGAATTAAAAGTAAATTAAAATAAAATAATATCCGTCCGTAAATACAATATTACAATTTGCCCAACTTTTTGAATTCGATGGACGGTACTAACTACTGCGCATGCTCGTGTACTTTGGTTGCTACTCGGAAGATGGCGCGACGAATGGTATCTTCCATCTTCAAACTTTTATATATTTTTAGTTTTTATACTTTTTAAAATTCTTTCTAATAATATAGATTTTATTATTATTATTATTAAACCTGATTAAGTGATGTAATTTAATATAATAAAAATAATATAAAATAAAACTTGCATTCTATTAACAAAATACTGTAGTACAAATTATAAACTATGATATGTTAGCGGCCAGATGGCAGAAAGAATTTTAAAAAACTGTGATTTGTTTTTGTTTAACTCTCTTCCAAAGATATATCGTATTTTACGGCATATAAGAAGCCACTTTTGTCAAAAAAATAAAAGCTTGAAAAATGACTTTGCGTTATATATGTAGCGTGTTGCAATCCTTTGGTATAACACGGCTAACCAGCTAGAACGGGTCTTCGACCTTCCACAGCCTTTGGAACTTTTTTAGTTTATAATAGTCTTTCAGGAACTCTACATTTAGATAACAATTTAAGACGGTGTTTTCAAACCTTGATTATCTAGCGTGCACGTACAGTACAAATCGACTGAACGTAGATTTTAAACATTTTTTAATACAACATTAATGCTAAGTAGCAGTAGCAGTTTACTAGCGAGGTTACGGCCGAAATTTTCATCTCTAAAACGTAAACGTCGAACGTCGAGCGCCGCTTACAAGATAGTGGCGCTCGACATTCAACGTTCACGTTATAGAGATGAAAATTTCGGTCGCAACCTGACTATTAATTTTAAACTTTATCCATATAAAGCTCGCTTTATCTAAGTCGCAGGTGGATGAAGCTGATATTGTCCAAAAACGGCTGGATTAAACAAGAACAATACATAAAATTCGGGCTTTATCCATCCAATTTTAGATAAAGAGAAAAGAAAGATGTGGGTTTCTGTTAAACATACGGTAAATTTGAGGGTTGTTTCGACACTGATGTTAATTTCTTTTTCATATAGTACGGCGACGGTCGAATTCCTCTTCGCGCCGTTTTCTTAGAGAGCCAATGTGCTAAGAGCCAGTAGCTTAGCATAGTGGGGGCAACAGGGGCGGCCCGCCCCGGGCGGCAATTTTAGGGGGCGGCAAAATTTCACAATAAATAATAATAATATCTTGTGTAAAAATTTGAACCATTTCATTTCATATTTTTGTCGCACGTACGATTCGGACCGATTGAAATGAGCACGGAATTTTTCATTACTTATTCTGTGACGAAACTGAATTTTAGTCTTTTAAATTGAGATACCTAAATAAGGGAGCTACGAAATTTTCCTCCGCTCCGGACGGCTGACACCCACGCTACGCCACTGCTAAGAGCGAAATTTAGTCTGACAAATAAATAATAGTTCGTTTTCCAGTTGATTCTCTTTCAAACATCCTTAACACGATTCACGCTGTAAACTTTAAGTAGGATTAATATTTAATAGCAGCAATGCCTTTTATCCACAAGCTATAATATGGGGACAATAGGATATCTAATAGGGTTTATTTCCCGGGATTCCCGCCGTTTATTCCCTACGAGAAAAATCCCGGGAAATCTCGCATTTCAACAATAATTTATTATGTCAGGTTTTCTTTCTATTATTTATTATACGAAAAGTTGCATCTTGAAGACTCACCTAAGAGAGAAATTTTGAGGTTTTATGCTACATATTATTACCTATGTTTTACAAGTCTCTATTTGTTAGTTCATGTAATATCTATGTATTGTGTTTGCGCATCATTGAACAGCGGAGCACTCGCTGGAAGTAAGTACCACTCATCGCACTTTAGTTTATTTTTTATTTCATCTTTAGAAATAAAATAGTATTTTTTTCGTAATCATTAAAACTCCCAATGAAACGCTTTATTTTACTTTCATCTTATAATGTAGGAGAACATAAATTAATTGAGCTTAACGTGTCCGTATGGGTGAGATTGGCCCTACACTTTTAGTTACTTACTAGAAAGTAAATTAAATTATTCAAATTTATGATATTCCTGTATGATCTTTTTTATCCATATAAAATTCTATTTTATTATCTCATCCCGGAATTTCCCAGGATCCCGGGAAAAGAAATTATTTTTCCCGTAATCTCGCTGGAGGCAAATTTCCTGGGAAATGAGAAACCCTAATATCTAACAGTTAATATCTCAGGATGAGGAAATGATTAAGAAATAAACTTTGATACGGTAGCTTGTGTATAAGAGGCATTGATGCTATTAAACTTTGATGGTTAAAGATCAAGAGGGTAGGGAGATAGAGCGGGGTCACGTGTGATATTTCAAGAGGGTCGGGTTAATGAAGATTTTTACTCGTCACTAGCATTTGTAATTTTTTTTAAATATAAGACTCGTTTCTCTACTTAAAATTAATCCTTTTGCGGTTTTATAATAATTAAAAATATGAAAAGTTTATATAACAAAACCTCATAACAGATGGCGCCACACACAATTTTATTTATTATAACATAATTAAAAGTATAAAAGTTATTTTCTAAATAAAATCTCACAACAGCCGAGAAAGTTACGCAACTCATTGCTATTGATAGATTTTTTAAATAAAAAACAGTTACATTTCTTGAAACGATCGATCTTCTTCTCAGTTTGAATATAGAAAGATCTATACACCCATACCTCGCTATACGGCCGCTCTTTATACGGCATTTCGCTATAACGGCCCTCTTCAATTAAGGCACGTTTTCGATTTACGGCCTAAAATGTTTCGCTATAACGGCAAAAAAAAAACTTTTTTTCGATGTCGATATATCTACATGTTGCCAATCTTGCGCAAGCGCAATCTCGATGCACACTCTTTTCTATTTCCTCTTGTTTACGAGCGTTATTCAGTGTGTGCTCATAAAGCGGCTGGTTTAGACTTGTCTGTGAGTGTTTTAAGTACATATTTATTACTGATTGTTACACATTAACTGGAAAAATTGGAAACAATTAGGAACGTAGCGCTAAAGTTTCTCGAGGAATTAATTCAGCCATTAGCTGTTATAAATCACTGAAGAACGAAATAGACAAGAAGGCAAGACAAACAACGGTGGACAATTTTTTTAAGCCAGGCCCATCCTTACCAGCGAAAAATGATGACGACAGTGATTTGCAGGTTACCATTTCTTCATCGTCTTCAGATTAAAGCCATTTTTAAAAAAATTTATGTATGTAAACATACACATATTTTATGTAACATGAAGTTGTTTCATTTTTGTTTATAGATTATTGTTGGTTTTTGGAGTCTGTTATTATTTTATGTACAAATGTATGTACTTCTTATGTATGTAGTTTTGATTTAAATGAAATAAAAAGATAAAACGCATTTTGAATGATAAACCATGTTACATATTTAACAAATTTGGAACCGATCCCATTGAATTTGTATGAATTTGTATTAGAATAATTGATTCCTTATACGGCTTTTCGCTTTGCGGCCAAGTTTCGTGGAACGTATCTAGGCCGTAAAGCGAGGTATGGGTGTATTTAATTGTTTCGTGTAAAATACATACACGATATTTTCTATCGGTCAGGTGAATTCATAAAATTTGCTTATTTAATATACTAATTAACGTTTACGTAACTAAACTATAACACGCATATTTAATATAACCGATGACGTCAGGTAAGCGCTCTTAAAATGGCGTCGGATAAACGAGATATTACGAAATTCAGTAAAAATTGCGCTGTCGGTCAATCGGAAACTTGGTCGGAAAATACCGGACGAACGAGAGGGAGGATTTCTTCTAGTTTTGGGGGTGGTGAGGTAAAGCTGACGTACGATTTTAGAAAATCTCGCTTCTAACCCCTTGTGGAGAATGGAAACCGAAGGCGGAGGGCGGTAGGGAGAGTCTCAATTCCATTCCGTCGTCACTCGAAGGATAGAAACGTGAAAAATGCAGATATTTAGCCTTAAAATTCAAAAAGAATCCATGACGTCAATCGCGTTCGAATTCGTTGCGAGCTTTCTAATCTCGCAACAATTGCCGTTTCTATGGAAACGCGTATTGTTGCAACACGATTTTGCGTCACTTTGCACGTTTTTCGCTTGTTGGACGGACGTGTGCGCTCTTTGCTCTTGTTTCTGCTGTGTTTTTTGCCTTTTTTCGGTGTTTTTGCTACCCGAACGTGGTTTTAAGAAGAATTGTGGACGCCGACGTTACACCAAGTAAGATTTTAATTAGAATTTAGCTAGTTGTAAGATTTTATTTTCGTTTCATTTAGTCCAACTTTCGGAGACGACATCGGCCGACTCAGACTTTGCATATTTGCGTTTAAATCTGCTGTCGCTTGTGTTTTTCGTTTGAATTACCATCCGAAACGCACCTCTTTCGACTTTTAAATGAGCCGCCACATTGGAAAGCGACCGAAGTGCCGAAAACGACGGATGCAAAGGATTAAGTATTTGTCCATTGGTTTATTTTCGTAATTAATGTAGATTATATTTTATAAGCACGGTCGAAGAATAAGGATTATTTGCAAATATCTTATTTATAGAAATTCAATTAAAACTTATTTAATACTAACTCTAAATACGAATTGCGTATCGTAATTTTAACTGAAATATATGCACTCGGAACCGGATGTACCGAAGAATAAACGGAGACCGTATTCTGAAGCATGATACGTTCCTTCGACACATCCGGGACGTCAGAAATTTCGCCCTTTAACCTCCGACTTCTTCATTGAATCTATGTATTAGTTACAACGCTTTTCAATGGTTTACTTTGCGAGAATTAAATTGTCTGCAGTTCTGTACCATTTAAAACACATCTAATACACTTAACAGTTATCTATACAGGATGGACACAAAGAATTGTTTTCCTTAAGTTGTTTGTCTCTTTTCACAATGCGGTCTTTTCTGAGTGCAGTCCATCTTTCACACTTACACTTACGTACACTTACGTAACACTCTGCAAATGCTTTGTGCCACTTAAACGTTCGTGTCCCGGCTGCGGGCACGTCTTGTGTTTTCGTCGACTCTCGTACGGAATTTCTTCGCACGAAACTCTCTTAAA